AGCTGTGTAAAGTGCAAATATACCCTTAGCGAGGCTTGTCCTTCATAGTCGCAAGCCATGGTGGCATAGGTGGTTGCACCTTTTGTGGGTGACTGTCCTTCGTGGACTTGTTCCTTAGCGGAACCTCACAACTGGGATCCTTATGATCTATATTTTTAGTGGACTGAACATGTATGTAAGATAGCGCCAACTATCCGAACTATGGAAAAAATCTATCTTGTTACATACACCCGCATGTCTTACTTTTTGTTGTCTACACTCTTGTATATTTGCATGTGTAGGGTGCTTGATAGATTGCTAGAAAATTATAAAATGCTAAGGATTTTTTTTTAAAATAATCTATTTGTCATAGTAGTCTATTCACCCCCTCTAGACATTTAATCAATCCTACGGAACCCCAGGATCTTGTCTCGAGCCGTTTGAATAGTCTATATTTTTTCAATTTAGATTTTTGTCTGTTCATGACTTCGGCTCCGGCGATGGGGATGACTGACGGCGAATAAGGTTCCTCCAGATATTACCCTATCGACGACTTTAGTTGCTGGTATTGGATCTAGGATGTTGTGTCCGTGTCATATAGATTATTTCATATTTGGTTTGGGCAGACGCTTTTGCGTGTCTTGGTCATAGTGTCGTGGTTATGGTTGACGCTCATGGTCTTTGGAGTGTTTACAGGCTCTTTTTGACGTTTTTTCTTCGAGGCGGTGATTTGCTACGCAGATTGCGGTGGTCGGCGTCTTCTTGTCTACATATATGACTTTTAGGATGCTACTTCTACAACATCTTGGGTTTAAACAAGTTTGCTCTGTTGAGACGGAGGCCTAGAAGCGGCAGAGCTTTGCCCACGACGCACCGCCGGGGAATGCAAAAGGAAGAAGACTTCGGCACTCCCAGGAATTTGGATGTATCGTTTTCGTTTTATGTAAGGATGGGTTTGTAAGGACATGTGATGTTTAATGTATTAATATATCACCTAGACATTTAAAAAAAAATCCTTGAAACCAACCTGAATAATTGCCCAAATTATGATAAAGCTACCCCTGAATTGGTTTTATGATCCTATCCTGTTAGTTTCATTTTTTTTCTCTCGCAAAAAAAAAAGATTTCTTCTTCTTTTTTCGCAAGGAGGAGGTTCATTCTTTCTTTGTTCAAAAGGGTGATCGTGAGGAAAAACTGCGGTAGCCAGGCCCAGGCCCTTTCACGAAAACGCGCATCTACACCGGGGCCAAATCGAGAAAACAGCGCAGCTCTGCCCTTTGGCCCGTCTCCAATCTCTCTCCACCTTCGCCGTTCTCCTCGAGCCGCCGTGTGCCCTCCACCTCTCCCCCCTGCGCCTCCGCCATGGCCCAGCACGGCTTCCTCTCCTCCCTCCGCTCCCACCTCCGGACCACGCCGCCGCCGTCTCATGTCCAGCCCCGCCGCGGGTACCACGTCGAGCTCGGCGCACGGGAGAAAGCGGTCAGCCCTCTCCTCCCCTGCAGTTTTCCTTTCACCCCGTCGATTCGACCGCTAGATTGTATGATTTTACTCTTCGTCGTTGCGATTCCCCTGTTCGGAGGCGCAGATAGCTACTGTGGTTCTGATCTGCGCGCGACCTCGGAACACATCGATTCGATCTGACTTGGAACTGGTGGGATGTTGTGATTACCGATTAGGGAATTTTCCTTACTGCATGTGATGGGTGATAATATTCAGCTTTATCCAGAGTGATTGGCGTCAAGATCAGGTGCCGTGTGGGGACTGGATTTTTCTAGTTAGGTTTACGAACTGCAGTGGTGGTACTTAATGATGGTGCTTACTACGATCATGATTAGAGATCTGCAACTGACGTTTATGCATACTAGCTGCGCAATGCGTGTTGTAATGCACAGGAAAGATATATAAACTTGTGCCTTATGTTTAGTTGAATGGTGCAGAAGTCATCTTGTCCTATCATATCCTTGTCCGCACAGAGGTGCACCATATATCCTCAGAATCGATCAGTGTAATGCCGTTGTTTGCTGATCTTCAGGGTTTTGTATCGCTGCCACAGTGTTTTGTGTCACTGTAGTTTAGTGCTTCTGACGTTTTAGGTAACTAAAGGTTTCTATCTTGAATTCTAGGATTGTGCATTTTGGTGATTGCGTTATTTTGCGTTAACAGAATAATCACCTTCCTGCAACTGCGAAGTTTTTAGTTATTTTATACTATTGGTAGTCTCCTTGCAGAGACCTTTATGTCCTTTTTTTGGCAATTCAGTTGGTGCTAAGATTTCATATAAGCATCTTATTTTTTTTGTTGCAAACTGCACTTTAGGTAAAGGCTAGTTGTACAAGCAGGACTCCATGCAGTTACTGTTATTAGATTCGATACTACAAGTCAACAGCAACTTGCAAAGTGGTGTTTAGTTTATTGCTTTTACATTGTGCTAGTTTTTTGTTAGCATGGTTTTGACTCTTCATCACTTGCAGCTTTTAGAGGAAGATGTTGCTTTGAAGAGGTTCAAATCATACAAGAACAGTGTCAAACGGGTCTCGAAAATCGGGAATGTTCTCACTCTCGTTGTCTTTGCTGGTATGTTATCATACTTTTGGATCTTTAAGACCACTTCTTATTCTTGTGTATTAGGCTTCTCTCTTTAAGTATTGCATTGTGCAATAATTAATGCTATAGTTTGTAATTGGATGTTGACCACTTGCATGCTGTTATATGCCTGTTGTCATGTTAGTTGTGTCTTCATTTTATGATATAGGCATTTAGTTGACGTGGGTAGTATCTCTCTACTTTCTGAACCAAGTTTGTAGTTGGGTTCGATAATGTTGTAGGGGAAATGATAGTATGCTTCACTGGTTAGTTTCTAGCAGCACAGATATAGTCACTGTTCCACCTGTTTTAATCTTGTTCTAGTGTAGTAAAGTTGGTAACTCCATATGGTAGCTATTTTTTCCATATGAATTCTGGCAACCCATCCCTTTGTTATTCATGACACTCTAGCTTATTTTCTGTCTGGACTACTTCTACTGACCATGGAGTGTATTGTACAGCATTGTTTTCTTGAGTGCTGAGTTGCCATTTGAAAATAACTGATAACTTGAAGTCTCTTTGTTTCACTTGCATGATGAATTCTTATAACTAACAATTTCAACTATGCAACTTTGAAGATGATGTGTGTTTTTAAAGACACATTTTCCTTGAATCTCTGGTTCTTGGTATTGCTGTTAGTCGCCCCAGCATGGCCTAGTAACTGACCGTCTGAAAATTAAAGTTACTTATTCATCTCACCAATTTTCAGGGCATGCTGTCTTGAAGCGTGCAGTAGGTCTGAATACAATTGTCTTTTTCATACTGGCAAAATGCACATAATCCTTGAAGTTTAGAAACATGTTCTGCATTTCAGTAGGCAGTAGGTTTCGAACTGAATTTCTCAACTTCTGAAGAGAAATCTTGTGCAGCACAGAATGCTACGTACTCCCTCCGTAAAGAAATATAAGAGCGTTTAGATCACAATGTAGAGCAAATATCGTAATGTGTGCTTTGTTTCGTCGGCCTTGTAGGTTGTGGTAGCACCTCTTGTTGCATCTGATCATGGGTGATTCACTTTGCAGTTACGCTGACTACCGTCTGTTTTGTTTTATTCCGCAGCCTGCAGCTATGAGGTCGTTACACTGGCAACAAGCACCCAATGAAGGAAAGTGCAATCGGTGTGAGCCCCTTAGATCTTCCAGAAAGTGATTCATCTCATAAACTGGCATTATATCAGTACTCGTTTTGAGCGTCCTGTCGATCTTATATATCATGTAAAATAAAAACAAACTAGGCTGGCCTTATTTGCGAGTCACTTTCTAGTCTCTGCCCATTTGTTATTTGTACACAAATCCCGAGGAGTCGATCTGCTATTGGAGGATGTTTCAATAGACTGTTGACCTCGGATCTTTGATTGGCTTGATGTCTGATCACTTTTTTATGCATCCGATTGTGCCGTCTGGTGTTTATGGGTTTGTGCCTGAGCAGCGATGAGATTAAAAGGCTCTACGTGCTAATTCGATTCACTGAGAGACTTTTTTCAGTAGAACGCATTTTTTATACTATCTAGTACTATTACGCACTACCTCTTTTCTTAAATACAAGACATTTTTGCAGTTCAATTTACAGAGGTAGTAATATATAAAGGGTGTGGCTAGGTCTTAATGGACTGAGGCTTAACTAAGTCTCAGTCAAGTGATATATTATGTAAGAAGAAAAAGAAAAACTGAATATATTTTTTCTATGAATCTCAATGCAAAAGTAAAGGAAGATAGCATCGACTGAGACTTAGCAAAACTGATATACAAAATCTATAAAGGTGCAAGTTTTGTTGGGAAAAATTAAGCTTGGATCACATAACTTGAGTTAACTATTATTTTTTTGATAGCTTACCATTGTTGCCGCATGATAAACATTAAGCTTGAGTTTGAGTGTTTTTTTTAGGGAAGACCGTCGTGGCTAACTTTATGAATAAACATCGATATATCGGCCATAGCTTGTTCACCAGCACTCTGACGGCTCGTCAGTCCAACTAAAAGAAAGCTTATTACAATAACTAAAATTGATTAGCACATGTGCCGATTGGTTTGCAGATTAAAACAATGTTTAGAAATGACCTTCTCAATCAAAGTAGAGATATTCACACATTCCGCAAAAATTGCTGCCGCGGAGCCCCACCAAGCCGGAGCAACATTTGGCCACCGATAGTCGATAGAGCGTTCCGCACAAATTTCTTAAACACAAGGATTGTGAATTTTTTTTACTTTTATTTTTTGCGGGTGGATTGTGAAATTTGTTATGTGAATTGTTAGCGTTATATGTGTCACTCCATTCCCTCCATAATCCTAGCCTTGCCTGTAGGATCGGACGGTGTGCCTCAGCCGAAAATCCCACACAAGAAAAAAAAGGCTCTGCCTATGCTTTACCCTGCCACAATAGTCTTGAACCGATAAGGAGGCGACCGTAAAACCCCGGAGACGAGCGCCCCGAGCAGCGAGATGGCGACGAGGGTGTGGGCGGCGTCGGCGGCGGCCTTAAACCCCACTCTCCTCCCCCTCTCGTCTTCCCCACGTCCGAGCAGGCCCGCCCCCTCCACGCGGCCGAGCGGGCACCTCCGCCTGCGCAGCCGCCCGCCGCGGCCGGCCAGGGTCGTGTGCCGCCGCGCCAAGAACGCCGCCTTGGAGGACTACAAGTTCCCGGACCCCATCCCCGAGTTCGCCGAGCAGGTCAGCGACCCCCTGCCTCCCTTCCCCCCTGCATCTTCTGCTCGGGACGGAGCTGCCGCTCCCGCTCCCGCTTCAGCTTCGTTCTGTTGTGTGTGACCGATTCGTGCGGCCTGTGGCCGGTGTCTTCTCTGTTGTCTCCCAGGAGACGAGCAAGTTCAGGGAGCACATGACGTGGCGGCTGGAGCAGAAGAAGGAGGAGTACTTCGGGGAGCACGTGGAGGACATCGTCGACGTCTGCACCGAGGCACGTTTCCCAGCTTCCACGGTTAACTTGCTCTCGTTCTACTAGTAGCATTTTGGCATTCTTGGATGCAACTGCCTGCGTTTATCGGAGCTGTGATTTAGGTTAAGAATTTGGCATTGCGTCAACGATGGTTAAAGGAATGGTTCTATTTGCTAAGATAGTTGAGAAAGTGTAGACTAGATAGAATTGACACCGATAATAAGAACGAAATTAATGAGCAAAGCTGGTGTCATGAATTAGCTTGGGAATGAACATTAGAAAATCATTGCCTCTTTTCTTAAGAAGCTAAACCTTTTCATGATGGTTCAGATGGACGCTTGCATTCTTCGTTAGAGACCGGCAAAGTAGCTCAAATTGCCAAACTTCATATGTGTTGGTACGAAGCATCTTTATTCTCTAGATACTGCAGGTAAGATTACAATTGGTTGGGAGTAGAAACTGCAGGCCCATGACACCGTGCAATGTATGCAAGTAAACATGAGGACGGCTGTCGTCCATTAGTTTTGTCAGTTGCCACCAGTTAACTACAACTCACACTTAGCTTAGCTCGAATTCGAATTCTCTCACTGCATGTTCACATGCTATTATTTCTACTAGTCTTCAGTTCAGCATATGTTAGGCTTAGAAGGACCTTCAAGAGTGATGCAGTTGCTTATGTTGGCGACAGTTCAATGGTTTCTTTCTTCGCGAAAAGGCGACAGTTCAATGTTTGATGTGATAGCACACCGCACTAGGCTTTCAGCTTGTCCGATAGACGAAATCTCTGAGGCGTGATTCTGATTTCCAGGTCTTGAGCACTTTCTTGCAACATGAGTACTGCGGACCCGGGACGCTCCTGGTTCACCCCTTCTTGGACATGAAGGGCGAGATCAAAGAGAGGGGCCTCCCCGGCGCGCCTCAGGCCGCGCGCGCCGCGATCGCGTGGGCTGAGAAGAACATCGACAAAGACTGGAAGGAGTGGACCGGAGATTATTAGCGCGCCGATTTCCTTTTGCCACTCTTTGTCTCTGTTGTAGCAGCTGTTTGTTGTACCTGTAGTAGTTTCGATATTTCAGTAGAGACTTGAATCTAGCTAGATTCTAGACTAGCCATGTTACTCCGATCTCGAACCCGTGAAACGCATGAAGTGAATTTATGCTCTGAACTTGATGAAGGCTGCTGGACTGATCCGTTCCGTCTCTTCTCTTAATCATGATGAACATGTCTTGGTGGCTGCCTGGCAGTAGTTGGTTGAAAAAAACTTGCTGGTTTTTGCCACATGTGACAGGAATACTTTCTTTGCCTTGGCCACTGTAAGTCAGTAGTAGTAGCATAGCAGTAAGTTTCTAAGGCGGCAGGTGGTCAGACCCTAGCCCAACCGGGCAAGAAATCCATGGCATTTCCCTGGCGCGACAGGAGCGGGGGCACGCACCACACCGCAACGACATGTTGCGCAGGTGCGAACCTAAGTCCCTCTCGCCGGAGACCGGTCGACGCCGGCCTGCGCCGTCTATTGTCCACAGTTCATTCAGTGTGGGAGAGAAGGACCGGACGGTGGAGTGCGGAGCTCCTTTTGTTGGATGCCATGTCCGTATGCAGTCAGTCGGAAGGGGGCCATGCCATTGAAGGAGCGCAGGGGGCGACGTAGCAGGAGGAGGTGTACATGGTTGATGATTTCTTCCTGAAATGGCGCCGAGCCCGCGCTCTGACGGATCGTCGACGTGAGCTCTGTTCGCGCGTCGCCGCTGGCAATGGCATGCGCGCACGCTGGCTCCACTGTTTGTGCGATCTACGAGTGTTTATCATGATGCATATGCATAGCTCTGCCGCTGGACTGGAGTGTGGCGCGGCCCGTGAGCGCCTCAATGGCAGCTTGGATCCATCCCCATTAAGATGGCGGTCACATTGGTGTGATGGCGTGGCCTCGATCGATCTCCTGTTAATTTTCTTCTTCCCAGTTCCTAATGACAGTGGTGTATATATGCAGTAAGTTTTCCTTCCGGCGAAGCCCGCACGGAAGTGAGCACTGAATGCGCGCCGTACCGTACGCGCGCGGCGCAGAGGCAGGCAGGGACAGCACAGTAGTATCATCATCATCCACACCAAATCCGTGAGGCGCCGCACCCCGTGTGATGTGAGTGTGGAAGCACCAAAGCCGGACCCGAGATGAGATGACGCGCAGGCCCTGCGTGGCCATCTCTCGGCCTGACAGCCACAACACGACCCATGAGCAGTGGAGGGAGGGCCGCGTCATTCTTCTCTCTCTGACTGACCGACTGAGCGTGAGCATGACTAGTCCATGGGCATCGGAGCAGGCACGGCCCGGATCCATCAACCGGTACGCCGGGCCGCGCCGTGCGCGCGTGTATGGACAAAGGCTATGGCCAGCGGACGGGCTGGCTCGAGTAGATCTTGACCACCCGGGGGACCAATCATGGCGTCGCGGCTCGCTCCAAGTGGTCTCTGCACTGCCTGCCTGCCTTGCCCTGGTCACTTCTCCCCCCGTGTCCCCACACGTCCGAGGGTAAACCCTCGCACGAACAGGCCCACGTTCTACGTCTTGGTTGTTGTTCTGCTGCGATTTTCCTGCACAAGCCTTTTTGGGGTGTGAAACGAGACAACGACGACTCATGCGCACTGCGTTCCTATCTTTTTTTTCCATGGTAATACGTGTCTCATTCATATCATAAATAACAAAATACAAGTCACGTAAAAACCGACAAGACAAAACTGAAAAGATAGTAGAACATCTCTGAACTTGATATCAACGTCCGTCACCTGCCTCCGGCACCACCATAGCAGCCGTCGAAGAAAAGAATGACGAATCACCACCTCAGCCGAGCTCGACGCGGCTCCATCGTGATATGCAGCTTTGCGGACCTTCAAGGTGGCTCACCAAAAGTGAAGCCCTTACCGTTGAACGAATCAGACCGGGGCAACACCCCGGACACGCCATCGAACTCCAGATCTGGCACCCCACCACGACTAAGACGCCGAAGGAGGAAACCATACCTGCCATCCACGAACCACGAGCCCAGCAGATGTTCCATCTTCCAGATGTCGTCGATGCAGACCACAATCTGCATCCGTTCCTGGACTACCTCCCAAGCTCCATCCCGATTTACACAAGAATTCGAGTCCATACGAATGTTTTTGTACACGAGCTTCTTGCTGAAATTAGCAAAATAAAGGTTCCTAGATGTAACATATTATCTCACTGAACTTTTTATATGTTTCATGCGCACACTTTCCATGGGCAGGCGTGGGTGTGATGGCACCTCATAAAATAACACCCCTCATTTTCATTATAGAACTTGTCTACTCCAACCGTCTCATAATATATGAGAATGCTCTCATATTATGGGTCACATTACAATGTATTAGAAAATTGAAACATGGTGAGCTAATGCAGTCGGAAGTTTTTATGTCAAGCAGCTTCACGAGCCAATACATAAAGCCTAAACAATATTTCCATCAGTAAATGAAATAGAGGGGAGTATAAAATTATTGTCGTCGTTGGCCATTACTTCATCAGTTCCATTTATACGACGCACATGCATTTCAATAATTAATTGACCATCAACTGTACCTACGAAATATGAGTTATTGTATGTTACATGAAAATAATACCATTCTCATAACACGTATAATACGTGTTTCTTACAATCGGGAACATAGAGTATTACCTAAATTCATTAATACTTCCACCTTTTTTACTTCGCATATTAAATCTATCCTGAGTCAAATATATTAAAGTTTTCATTCACAAATATATTGAAGTTTGATCAACTTTGTAGAAAAATCTATCAATATTCACAATGTCAAATCAATATAATTATTATATTTATTTGGTATTGTGTAGGAAAACATATCAATATTTTGGAGTATTTTCACATTGTATTTAGTTGGTATTGTAAACAATGATATTTTAAAGGTAAATTTTGGAAACTTAATGTGTGGAGCAAAAAGAAATAGAGCGTGTATGTCGGATTTCGGGTTCCGGCAGACCCTCTAGATTCGAACACTGGGGTGCGCGCGAAGATTTCGCCCTCTACCTACCTGCACCTTGCCGCCTCGCTAGTATCTAAGCTATGAAAGGAACAGCACAAGAGACACAGAGTTTATACTAGTTCGGGCCACCATTGTGGTGTAATACCCTACTCTAGTTTGTGGTGTGGTGGATTGCCTCTTGGGCTGATGATGAACAATACAAGGAAGAATAGCCTTGCGAGGATCTGTTCTTGGCTGGTGCGATGAATTGCTAGGGGGAGTTCAGTCGCTCTTTCTACTGGTTTCCAGGTGATGCTCTACCTTGTGGGTGGCTAGTCCTATTTATAGGCAAAGGCCCTGGGACTCTTCCCAAATATTGAGCGGGAAGGGTGCCAACAATTGGCCATTTTGAAGGGGAACATCCAGTACACTTATCCTGACTAAAGTTGGTCCTCGCCTGTCAAAGGCTCTGGTGGTGACGCCGGCTTGGGCTCCACAATGACTTCCTTCCTGCCGTTGCGACGGTCTTGGTCTTGTTGCACCGAATGTTGGAAATATGCCCTAGAGGCAATAATAAATTGATTATTATTATATTTCCTTGTTCATGATAATTGTTTATTATCCATGCTAGAATTGTATTGATAGGAAACTCAGATACATGTGTGGATACATAGACAACACCATGTCCCTAGTAAGCCTCTAGTTGACTAGCTCGTTAATCAATAGATGGTTACGGTTTCCTGACCATGGACATTGGATGTCGTTGATAACGGGATCACATCATTAGGAGAATGATGTGATGGACAAGACCCAATCCTAAGCCTAGCACAAGATCATGTAGTTCGTATGCTAAAGCTTTTCTAATGTCAAGTATCATTTCCTTAGACCATGAGATTGTGCAACTCCCGGATACCGTAGGAGTGCTTTGGGTGTGCCAAACGTCACAACGTAACTGGGTGGCTATAAAGGTACACTACGGGTATCTCTGAAAGTGTCTGTTGGGTTGGCACGAATCGAGAGTGGGATTTTGTCACTCCGTGTAAACGGAGAGGTATCTCTGGGCCCACTCGGTAGGACATCATCATAATGTGCACAATGTGACCAAGGGGTTGATCACGGGATGATGTGTTACGGAACGAGTAAAGAGACTTGCCGGTAACGAGATTGAACAAGGTATCGGTATACCGACGATCGAATCTCGGGCAAGTACCATACCGCTAGACAAAGGGAATTGTATACGGGATCGATTGAGTCCTTGACATCGTGGTTCATCCGATGAGATCATCGTGGAACATGTGGGAGCCAACATGGGTATCCAGATCCCTCTGTTGGTTATTGACCGGAGAACGTCTCGGTCATGTCTGCATGTCTCCCGAACCCGTAGGGTCTACACACTTAAGGTTCGATGACGCTAGGGTTATAAAGGAAGCTTGTATGTGGTTACCGAATGTTGTTCGGAGTCCCGGATGAGATCCCGGACGTCACGAGGAGTTCCGGAATGGTCCGGAGGTAAAGATTTATATATAGGAAGTCCTGTTTCGGCCATCGGGACAAGTTTCGGGGTCATCGGTATTGTACCGGGACCACCGGAAGGGTCCCGGGGGCCCACCGGGTGGGGCCACCTGCCCCGGGGGGCCACATGGGCTGTAGGGGGTGCGCCTTGGCCTACATGGGCCAAGGGCACCAGCCCCTAGAGGCCCATGCGCCAAGATATAGGAAAAAGGGGAGAGTCCTAAAGGGGGAAGGCACCTCCGAGGTGCCTTGGGGAGGATGGACTCCTCCCCCCCTCTTAGCCGCACCCCTTCCTTGGAGGAAGGGGCAAGTCTGCGCCTCCCCCCTCTCCCCTGCCCCTATATATAGTGGAGGGGAGGGAGGGCATCCATACCTGAGCCCTTGGCGCCTCCCTCCCTCCCGTGACACCTCCTCCTCTCCCGTAGGTGCTTGGCAAAGCCCTGCAGGATTGCCACGCTCCTCCATCACCACCACGCCGTTGTGCTGCTGCTGGAT